CCACACTAAAAAAAAAAAAAAAAAAAAAAAAAAAAGATTTCCTGAACATATATATAGCTATAGGGCCTCGCTGAACCACTCGACATTGTGCAGCCGGACTGAATCTGGCCATACTTTCCGCTAGAGGGGCTCGCTCCACCCCTCGGGAATGCCACTGAAGGTGACTTCTTCCGGCTGCGCGAAGTCGATAATCGTTCTCAGTGACGTTAGCACAAGCGCGGGTTTAGCACAATGAGATAGCAAAACCGTGAGACGCATATAAGCCAGAGATTACTAAGATTAGCACTTTATGTGTCTCACGCTTTTGCTCTCTCGTTGTACTAATCTTTGTCTTTCTGTATCTCACGCTTTTACTCTCTCTCTCTCTCTCTCACACACACACACACACACACACACACACACACACACACACATGCATATACAGACTGATCGACCGAGGACTTGACGTTGGACTGCATTTATGTCATCAGCACATGATTGACCGGTCGTCGATCTGTCGTTACATGAATCGAAGCACACGACTTGTTAGTAGGTCTCGGCCTACCGACCGACCGGCGTCCAATCCATCGGCCTACCGGGCGGTGGAAAGTATTATCTTCTAGTAGTCAATCGATCATACGTTGCTAGTTGGGTAAGTACCCATGGGCCATGGCGTAGAGTTCCCGAAGGGAATGTTGGACGATATCGATCAATCAATCTCGGCCGTCCATAGGGCCGGCTACGCGTCATTTTTCCAGGCCTCGTCATTATGCGCAAGAGCAGAGAAAATTTAAACCCGTTCCGCTTGCTTTGGCGTTGTATCGTGGTGCAGCGTCGAAAGAGGCCAGAGCTCAACAAAGCTGCAGCGACAGATATCTAGACCCATATTCCTCGGTGAAGATGGCTTTAAACCGTCGACAACTCCAACGAGATCAGTCAAACGTCCCGCGTAGAGCTGGCCAGCTTTCATCATTGGATAGAGGACAAAAATAGAAATATCGATAACAGTGACAGATCTATGCCATCCATAGACAGGCTCTCTGTCTATCGGTGTATCTGTGCGTGTTATCGCTGCGTGTGTCTATGTATGCGCACGTGAAAGCGAGCCAGCAAGCGACACACACACAGAGAGAGAGAGAGAGAGAGAGAGAGAGAGAGAGAGAGAGAGAGAGAGAGAGAGAGAGAGAGAGAGAGAATACACATGTCTCTTATCCACAGATCAGGACATCAGGACAAAGCTAAGCGCCACGACGTGGGACGTCTTACACGCAACCGATGCGCGCAATTCGTGCAGCGGCAGTTGATGATGAAGGTCAGAATCAACATCGGTAAGAAGGACCACGTTCTGTGAGCGCAACCGATGCGCGCAAAGCGAGGAAGATGAGGGCGAGGAGGAGGCGAAAGTTCTGTGAGCGGAAATGCTTCCTCATTCGTTCGCTATCTAACATCGGTAAGAAGGACCACGTTCTACTGACTGAATGCATACGTGCATTTCTACTTCCTCCTTCCTGCCCTGCGATTTCTACTCACCTGCGGTGAGAATGTACTGGGGATGGATTATGGTTCCTCCACAGGAGAACCTCTGGGAGCCCGCCGTTAAAATTCCCACTTGGTAAAAGAAACTTGAACTGTTTGCCTCATGTCCATTCACGATCCTGTTTGCCATCATGTCCAATAGCCTGCGATACTTCTGGCGTAGCATTCGTTGAGTCCACTGCCAGCCGTCATATCCACCGCTCCCACCACTGTTCTGACCGCTCCGTCTGAGATGGCCATCACTTCCACGCGGAGCATGTCGACCGCTAGCTGTCGAGTCCGTCGAGTTCTCCTCGGCCTCAACAGCCGATTCACCCTCCAATTCATCGAATTCGTCGTCGAATTCATCCCATTCCACCTCGACGTCTTCCCCATAGCTGCCTTTCTCATCCCCGTCCCGCCATCGCCTAGCTGCCGTCGCAAACTGGCAGAGAACGGCGGCGTGGCTGCCCTTCGCCGCATTTGGCTCGCAAATCGATTGCTGAACTTCCGCGAACAGCACAATTAGCGAGAGAGCTGCAGCTCCTACAATCACGAGACCGCTCACCAACGCAATGCACGTGCATCGCCCTGGAGTGGTCTCCATATTGCGCCTTTTGTCCAGTACTTGCTTAGCTAATAAGGCTGCGACGCCAACGCTTCCTCACTCTTTGGCTATGGCACTCTGAGCTTAACCCGCCTATCTCATCGAAGACCAAGGAGATGAGACAGGTCAGGTTATGGTGGATGGAAGACAGAATGATGCCAGTCTTGTCTCGTCACGGCGTGGGTGATTGAGAGGGAAGAGGAGGCTACAGCGCCCGCGCCCGCGCCCGCAGCTTTGCCTCACTGCCAGAATAAATGCGCGGGATCTGGGTTTGCGAAGTTGAAACCCTGTCTCTTATACACATCTAGATGTGTATAAGAGACAGAGACAGGTCAGGTTATGGTGGATGGAAGACAGAATGATGCCAGTCTTGTCTCGTCACGGCGTGGGTGATTGAGAGGGAAGAGGAGGCTACAGCGCCCGCGCCCGCGCCCGCAGCTTTGCCTCACTGCCAGAATAAATGCGCGGGATCTGGGTTTGCGAAGTTGAAACCCTGTCTCTTATACACATCTAGATGTGTATAAGAGACAGAGACAGGTCAGGTTATGGTGGATGGAAGACAGAATGATGCCAGTCTTGTCTCGTCACGGCGTGGGTGATTGAGAGGGAAGAGGAGGCTACAGCGCCCGCGCCCGCGCCCGCAGCTTTGCCTCACTGCCAGAATAAATGCGCGGGATCTGGGTTTGCGAAGTTGAAACCCTGTCTCTTATACACATCTAGATGTGTATAAGAGACAGAGACAGGTCAGGTTATGGTGGATGGAAGACAGAATGATGCCAGTCTTGTCTCGTCACGGCGTGGGTGATTGAGAGGGAAGAGGAGGCTACAGCGCCCGCGCCCGCGCCCGCAGCTTTGCCTCACTGCCAGAATAAATGCGCGGGATCTGGGTTTGCGAAGTTGAAACCCTGTCTCTTATACACATCTAGATGTGTATAAGAGACAGAGACAGGTCAGGTTATGGTGGATGGAAGACAGAATGATGCCAGTCTTGTCTCGTCACGGCGTGGGTGATTGAGAGGGAAGAGGAGGCTACAGCGCCCGCGCCCGCGCCCGCAGCTTTGCCTCACTGCCAGAATAAATGCGCGGGATCTGGGTTTGCGAAGTTGAAACCCTGTCTCTTATACACATCTAGATGTGTATAAGAGACAGAGACAGGTCAGGTTATGGTGGATGGAAGACAGAATGATGCCAGTCTTGTCTCGTCACGGCGTGGGTGATTGAGAGGGAAGAGGAGGCTACAGCGCCCGCGCCCGCGCCCGCAGCTTTGCCTCACTGCCAGAATAAATGCGCGGGATCTGGGTTTGCGAAGTTGAAACCCTGTCTCTTATACACATCTAGATGTGTATAAGAGACAGAGACAGGTCAGGTTATGGTGGATGGAAGACAGAATGATGCCAGTCTTGTCTCGTCACGGCGTGGGTGATTGAGAGGGAAGAGGAGGCTACAGCGCCCGCGCCCGCGCCCGCAGCTTTGCCTCACTGCCAGAATAAATGCGCGGGATCTGGGTTTGCGAAGTTGAAACCCTGTCTCTTATACACATCTAGATGTGTATAAGAGACAGAGACAGGTCAGGTTATGGTGGATGGAAGACAGAATGATGCCAGTCTTGTCTCGTCACGGCGTGGGTGATTGAGAGGGAAGAGGAGGCTACAGCGCCCGCGCCCGCGCCCGCAGCTTTGCCTCACTGCCAGAATAAATGCGCGGGATCTGGGTTTGCGAAGTTGAAACCCTGTCTCTTATACACATCTAGATGTGTATAAGAGACAGAGACAGGTCAGGTTATGGTGGATGGAAGACAGAATGATGCCAGTCTTGTCTCGTCACGGCGTGGGTGATTGAGAGGGAAGAGGAGGCTACAGCGCCCGCGCCCGCGCCCGCAGCTTTGCCTCACTGCCAGAATAAATGCGCGGGATCTGGGTTTGCGAAGTTGAAACCCTGTCTCTTATACACATCTAGATGTGTATAAGAGACAGAGACAGGTCAGGTTATGGTGGATGGAAGACAGAATGATGCCAGTCTTGTCTCGTCACGGCGTGGGTGATTGAGAGGGAAGAGGAGGCTACAGCGCCCGCGCCCGCGCCCGCAGCTTTGCCTCACTGCCAGAATAAATGCGCGGGATCTGGGTTTGCGAAGTTGAAACCCTGTCTCTTATACACATCTAGATGTGTATAAGAGACAGAGACAGGTCAGGTTATGGTGGATGGAAGACAGAATGATGCCAGTCTTGTCTCGTCACGGCGTGGGTGATTGAGAGGGAAGAGGAGGCTACAGCGCCCGCGCCCGCGCCCGCAGCTTTGCCTCACTGCCAGAATAAATGCGCGGGATCTGGGTTTGCGAAGTTGAAACCCTGTCTCTTATACACATCTAGATGTGTATAAGAGACAGAGACAGGTCAGGTTATGGTGGATGGAAGACAGAATGATGCCAGTCTTGTCTCGTCACGGCGTGGGTGATTGAGAGGGAAGAGGAGGCTACAGCGCCCGCGCCCGCGCCCGCAGCTTTGCCTCACTGCCAGAATAAATGCGCGGGATCTGGGTTTGCGAAGTTGAAACCCTGTCTCTTATACACATCTAGATGTGTATAAGAGACAGAGACAGGTCAGGTTATGGTGGATGGAAGACAGAATGATGCCAGTCTTGTCTCGTCACGGCGTGGGTGATTGAGAGGGAAGAGGAGGCTACAGCGCCCGCGCCCGCGCCCGCAGCTTTGCCTCACTGCCAGAATAAATGCGCGGGATCTGGGTTTGCGAAGTTGAAACCCTGTCTCTTATACACATCTAGATGTGTATAAGAGACAGAGACAGGTCAGGTTATGGTGGATGGAAGACAGAATGATGCCAGTCTTGTCTCGTCACGGCGTGGGTGATTGAGAGGGAAGAGGAGGCTACAGCGCCCGCGCCCGCGCCCGCAGCTTTGCCTCACTGCCAGAATAAATGCGCGGGATCTGGGTTTGCGAAGTTGAAACCCTGTCTCTTATACACATCTAGATGTGTATAAGAGACAGAGACAGGTCAGGTTATGGTGGATGGAAGACAGAATGATGCCAGTCTTGTCTCGTCACGGCGTGGGTGATTGAGAGGGAAGAGGAGGCTACAGCGCCCGCGCCCGCGCCCGCAGCTTTGCCTCACTGCCAGAATAAATGCGCGGGATCTGGGTTTGCGAAGTTGAAACCCTGTCTCTTATACACATCTAGATGTGTATAAGAGACAGAGACAGGTCAGGTTATGGTGGATGGAAGACAGAATGATGCCAGTCTTGTCTCGTCACGGCGTGGGTGATTGAGAGGGAAGAGGAGGCTACAGCGCCCGCGCCCGCGCCCGCAGCTTTGCCTCACTGCCAGAATAAATGCGCGGGATCTGGGTTTGCGAAGTTGAAACCCTGTCTCTTATACACATCTAGATGTGTATAAGAGACAGAGACAGGTCAGGTTATGGTGGATGGAAGACAGAATGATGCCAGTCTTGTCTCGTCACGGCGTGGGTGATTGAGAGGGAAGAGGAGGCTACAGCGCCCGCGCCCGCGCCCGCAGCTTTGCCTCACTGCCAGAATAAATGCGCGGGATCTGGGTTTGCGAAGTTGAAACCCTGTCTCTTATACACATCTAGATGTGTATAAGAGACAGAGACAGGTCAGGTTATGGTGGATGGAAGACAGAATGATGCCAGTCTTGTCTCGTCACGGCGTGGGTGATTGAGAGGGAAGAGGAGGCTACAGCGCCCGCGCCCGCGCCCGCAGCTTTGCCTCACTGCCAGAATAAATGCGCGGGATCTGGGTTTGCGAAGTTGAAACCCTGTCTCTTATACACATCTAGATGTGTATAAGAGACAGAGACAGGTCAGGTTATGGTGGATGGAAGACAGAATGATGCCAGTCTTGTCTCGTCACGGCGTGGGTGATTGAGAGGGAAGAGGAGGCTACAGCGCCCGCGCCCGCGCCCGCAGCTTTGCCTCACTGCCAGAATAAATGCGCGGGATCTGGGTTTGCGAAGTTGAAACCCTGTCTCTTATACACATCTAGATGTGTATAAGAGACAGAGACAGGTCAGGTTATGGTGGATGGAAGACAGAATGATGCCAGTCTTGTCTCGTCACGGCGTGGGTGATTGAGAGGGAAGAGGAGGCTACAGCGCCCGCGCCCGCGCCCGCAGCTTTGCCTCACTGCCAGAATAAATGCGCGGGATCTGGGTTTGCGAAGTTGAAACCCTGTCTCTTATACACATCTAGATGTGTATAAGAGACAGAGACAGGTCAGGTTATGGTGGATGGAAGACAGAATGATGCCAGTCTTGTCTCGTCACGGCGTGGGTGATTGAGAGGGAAGAGGAGGCTACAGCGCCCGCGCCCGCGCCCGCAGCTTTGCCTCACTGCCAGAATAAATGCGCGGGATCTGGGTTTGCGAAGTTGAAACCCTGTCTCTTATACACATCTAGATGTGTATAAGAGACAGAGACAGGTCAGGTTATGGTGGATGGAAGACAGAATGATGCCAGTCTTGTCTCGTCACGGCGTGGGTGATTGAGAGGGAAGAGGAGGCTACAGCGCCCGCGCCCGCGCCCGCAGCTTTGCCTCACTGCCAGAATAAATGCGCGGGATCTGGGTTTGCGAAGTTGAAACCCTGTCTCTTATACACATCTAGATGTGTATAAGAGACAGAGACAGGTCAGGTTATGGTGGATGGAAGACAGAATGATGCCAGTCTTGTCTCGTCACGGCGTGGGTGATTGAGAGGGAAGAGGAGGCTACAGCGCCCGCGCCCGCGCCCGCAGCTTTGCCTCACTGCCAGAATAAATGCGCGGGATCTGGGTTTGCGAAGTTGAAACCCTGTCTCTTATACACATCTAGATGTGTATAAGAGACAGAGACAGGTCAGGTTATGGTGGATGGAAGACAGAATGATGCCAGTCTTGTCTCGTCACGGCGTGGGTGATTGAGAGGGAAGAGGAGGCTACAGCGCCCGCGCCCGCGCCCGCAGCTTTGCCTCACTGCCAGAATAAATGCGCGGGATCTGGGTTTGCGAAGTTGAAACCCTGTCTCTTATACACATCTAGATGTGTATAAG